TTGGGAATAACCCTCAAGATCTAGGTAGACATTCACTTAGATGACTGCCACCTTGCAACTGATGAGCTTGGGCTACAAAAGTTCTTCATTTCATAGGCTTGCCCTGAGCACATTCACAGTCTAAAACAAAACAAACCTCTGTATATTTCCAAGTATAGGAGGAAATTCCAGTTTTCAAACAGGACCTAGGAATGTGATTTGAACTTTTAAAGTTCCTCATTTTGAAAACAGAGCAAGCCAGCTGACTTCCCCTTCCATGTCAATAATGTTCTTGAAGTATTTAAAAGAACCATAGCTAAAAAGGAAGGTGAAAAGAGTTGGCTGCTTTCTAGGCCACACAACTAGAAAGATCATCATAATCCTTAGATTTAAGTCAAGGCATCAGACACAAGTCCTGTATATCTCTATATTTTGGAAAGACATAATATATCCTTAGAATAAAAAAGAAAAAAATATAATGGAAAGGTTCACTTTGCTTTGAAGATTCATTGGAAACTGTTGCAGGAGGGAAGCAGAGAGGAAAAAAACATTATGCCCATCTCATTCTTTAATCTGAAAGCAGTATTAAATAATGTGTATATAGAGCTAACTGTGTGCCTAGGCACTCAGACAGGGCAAGACAAGGTTTCTTCTCTGAACAGGTTACAATAGGATCATTTTGCATAGAATTCTCCGAGGACAAACTTTGCAAAAAATACTTCAGTTACTTTTGGAGCCTAATCCCACCAACTTCCCAGTGAGAACTAGACTCTAAAATCCTTTAAATCACTGTTGAAAATGAGACTTGAACAACTAGGTTGTTAAGATGTTTTGGCCAGTTTTATCCCAGTCTCCTCTACTTTGCTTAATTTCATAGAGATACAGACTTGCAAAGAGCAGAAACACAAGAGAAGGCTGAGAGGGGATCTGGTGGCCATCTATAAACTTGCCAAGGGGGGACCAGCAGGCAATGGGAGAGTCCCTGTTCCCCCGAGCACTACTGGGACTAACAAGGAATAACGGCCATAAGTTGACTGAGAGTAGATTCAGGCTAGATATCAGGAGGCACTACTTCACAGTCAGGGCAGCTAGGAGCTGGAACCAACTTCCAAGGGAAGTGGTGCTCGCTCCTACCCTGGGGGTCTTCAAAAGGAGGCTAGACAATTACTTAGCGGGGGTCGTTTGACCCCAGTACTCTTTCCTGTCCATGGCAGGGGGTCGGACTTGATGATCTGCTTAGGTCCCTTCCGACCCTACCAACTATGAAACTAACAAAAAATGTCATTTCAGTCTGGAGGTTTTTTTCACTGCTGCCATTATGACAGTGACAAAGAGAAGAAACAATGTGTCACAGTGGTAGGAGCAAGTGACTGGAATTCAAGACTGGAATTATATTGCCAAGCCTGCCACTGACTCAGTGTGATCAACATTTATACCTCTGACTCCAGTACATTTCATACGGACAAACAAAAGCAAGTAAAACACCAATCCTAGCTGAGCAATTTGGTAACCCCAAGCAGTCACAGTTTCAGTTCCTTTATAACTGACATGGTTTGAAAAGACAAGGAATTAAAAGGTTAGTGTTAACAACTGTTTCAGTGCAATGGAAAAGCTTAATCCAGATGTTTGGAGCTGTAGTCCCTAAAGCCTGTGGCTGCCCTTCATCACTTTTGGCTTCAGGCACTTTCAAACCAATAGATGGGATTGAATGAAGGGTGTATTTGCAATCGGTTTTGGAAAAAAAAGTGAATATAAATACTCTGGTGCCAAACTCAGAATTCACATATATAGTGTGGTAAACCAATGCAGCTGGCTCTACTCAAAGAGACTTAGCCAATTAAAGCAAATTGCAGAAGTCACAATGATGGGTCTGTTATTAAGGGTGGGGAGGGGGGGAGCACAAACCTGCTGAGTCTACCCTGCAAGTTTTATCCTCTGCAGTGACACTTGAGATGCACTGACAGTGAATACACAATAACCCCATACAGCAAGCTCATCTGAGCCCTCATTCATGAACATTACTGTGCAGTAATTTAGAAAAGAGATCTCAGAGCCATTGCCTAAAATGTTTTGCTTGCACTCAGGAAAAGAGGAGAGAACATTTTCAGCAAGGTAAATATTACACAAGTATTTTGGATTCAATATAATGGAGACAGCAGAATAAGCATGCAAGTAAAACTAATGATGAAATCTGTTAGGATCAGCAGTCTGACAGCAACCAGTCAAATTGCTCAAAATGAAATGCCATGGGCCCACTTCTTTCCCAGCGTAACTTGCTTGAAACTGTATTGGTAGTGGACCAGCCCTGCGCTTTGGAGTTTGGCTAGCTCAAGTTTTGGTTCTGTAGCTAGTAATGATTATTATCCTTAAAATGCTTAGTAGTGCAGTTTCCATAGCTCTGTCATCCACACACCACAAAACCACTATGCAGCTCTGCAAAACTAGTACCTTCTCTTCATGAAAGGCCCATGGTTTAGATAGATAAAGAACAAAATTACTACATAATTCACCCACCCCCATCCTTGAAAACAAACTGAAGATGGTTCTTTCAGCTCACTAGTGATGCCAACAGCTGGTAAAATCAGAAGCCCACAAGGGGAGACTCAGTTTCTATAAATACCAATTAGAACTTGGCATACTATGAGTTGAGTGACTTCACACTGAGCACAGATCCTACCAGCCCAGTGAAGTGGAGGCTTCTGTCCAGCTCACCAGATGGGGTTGCTATCCACGGGTCCAGGGCCAGAGCTCTGTTGAGATTCTACTGCCTGCTCTGTGAAGATGAGGGCAGTTGTGAACTACTGTAACACCTTCCCAGGCCCTTAAAGCATGCTGCTGATTTCATCCTAGGGGGAAAGTCAAAGGAATTTACTAGGAAACCATTTGGTTCAATGGCTTTGTTAAGTCATTGTCTTGCCTCTCTTGTTAGAGGCAGTTTCTGCCTGAGTACACCAAACCAACAAATGCTCCCATTGTGGGGTAAGCAAAACATCCAAAGAAACAAAAGTCAATGTAATACCAGGAAATCCTTTCCCTCAGTGCAGACTCACCCATGCTTGTCCAGGGGCTTCCAGAAGTCTTTTACCAAACTGAACCACAGCCCTCCCCAGGCTCTTTCTCCATTCTGCTGCTTGGCTTCCTTCTTAAACACTTCTAGGCTCCTTCTCCCATTCCCCTCCACCCAGTTCCTTTTAGGACCTACTGCCAGCCTTGCCTGGTCCTAGTCTCACTGCTGAGACCCAAAGCTTGAGAAAAATATTTAAAATGCAAAATATGCAGCAAGCCACTTTGAAGCATATCAGCAGTCTCAGTTTGTATATTATTCCTTTTAATTCAGTGCCCAGCTACAGAAATGTTACTCGGCAAGGAATGAATAATGTGGACAGCTCAACATTGGTTTGCTGTTCAAGGGCTTTTATCACGTCATGGGAATGCCTCAAACCAAAGTAATTTGGGACTAAATCGCTAAGTGCTGTATACAAGTAATAGGACAACAAATCAAACTGTCCACATTGCATGCTCGTTCTCTCCTGGGAATCAATAAAAATTCAAGCTTAAAAGAAATTAAGTGTATTGTTTATGCCATCTTATACAGACTGTTAGAAGTACCTGACTGATGAAGCTCTAGTGTGTCACAGGTACCTGGCTTGAAGTGCTGGCCATATTGAGGTCCACTGCAAAATTCTTACCAACTAAACTGGTAGCAGGATTTCATTCCCAATACTCTTCCAGACAGAGTCTGCACAACCATCCCCAAATCAACAAAAAGGCTTCTGTCTTTTTTCCCCCAACAGTTTGATCTATCTAGTTCCAAACAGAGGATGACAAACGTGAAGGCAGCACACACATACCAACTACATAACAGGGCATGCGTCGTTTCTTTATAGTTAATGTGTTCACTTAAATGGGCATATCCAAAGGCTGCCATCCAAGGAAGCTCCAGTCCTCTAGTGAACCATCTGGCAGCTTGTCTAGGAAAAGACTATGCAATTGGCAAATCCAGTCACGAGTCAGACTGTTAGATGACATGCAGTGCAAAGAAATTAAAATACCAGAAATGTATGTTTGCAACAAATAATTTATGGAACTTACAGCTAACAGATCAAAAAAAGCAACTTCCAGAGACTCTTAAATGACAGATTAATAATTAATCAAGTGACTTTGTATGTATATAGCCCTTTCTACTCAAAGGCCTCAAAGCACTTTATAAAGCCTCACCAACCCTTCTGCAAGGTGAATCAGTAAAATTAGCCTCATTTCACAGATGGGAAACTGAGACACAAATAGGGGAAGAAGCCTGACCAAAGTCACCTAGCCAAAGAACAAACTCAAGTCCCTCAATGACCTTCCATTCCCCTGAAGGTGTGTGGCTCTCAAAAAAACATTCATTGGTGTTAGAGAACAAATCCAGGCAGTGTCCTCCAGATCAGGACTAATAAGTAAGCTTTGTGGCTTAGCATGCTGTTCCTTTAGCATGTCACTCAGACACACTGGGCATATCTACATGTGCATTAATGCACCATAGTTACTGTGCATTAAGTTTAGTACCAGTAATAACAGGTACTAACTGAATGCACACTGGCACACACCATTAAAAAGGTGTGTGCCAGTGCTACTGCTCAGTAGCACTGGCACACACCTTTTTAATGGCATTACTGCACAGTAGCCCAATATTAGCATTGTTTGTCCTGTGACATGCTACTGAGCAGTAGAATTAGTCTACTGCACATTTAGCTTCTTGTGTAGACATGCCCACTGAGTATGTGCGTGTCGTTTCCTACTTCATTCTCTTAGTTTTTCCCCTTTCAAAGAAAGGTTAATATGGTTATTAAAAAGTTTCAGATTTTGACCAGAACCTTCAGGCTGTGTAACAGACAGCATTCAAATAACCTGACAGACATCCAGCTCTGTCAGTTTATAGGCAAGAATCAATGCGACTTTAAGCATGGAACAAACTCAAAGCAATTCTTTCATTGAAAGCACTAAGCACTACGTATAAGTCAGAGCAGGTGACTGAGCACCAGGATTTGGGAAATCCCAGCTCTGCAATGTCTTCTCTATGTGGATGTCACCACCTCTTTTTGCCTCTATTCTTCCCCCTTGAACAAATAAAGATAATGCAAATTCACAGGGGTGTTAATAAATCTAAATATTTATAAAGCAATTTGGGCATTTGGAAAGGTGTTACTTACTGCCAAAACTCTCTGGATTCATGATGAAACAGTGAAAGGCTCACTTCTACTAAACTCGATGGCCTATTTCTTGCATGGATTTCTTATCCACATTCACAGAGTAAAGCGTCTTCTTGAGATATCCATACAATATTAATGCTGGGGGTATCTCCAGTCATTTGTTTGGTGCTGTCTCTTATCTGGCTTCAGCTGAGCTAAAAAAACCAAGAAATCTAAACATAATGGATTTAACCCACTCACCGTCTGTATTTAACCCACGCACAGTCTGGGTTTTTCACGCATGGAAACACTACTAACCATTAATTCTTAGCAAGCTGATTGATAAAGTAACAAAGACTCAGAAATTTGGTCTTGGTCACAAATGAGATGCGATTGTTTTTTGCCTTGTGTACACTGGTCATTTGTCCAAATCATCATACAACTAGATATTAAATTACTCCCTGGATTTTGAGAGGCATAGGACGGGAATAACAGGAAGTTCAACAGATAAACACCGAGGTATAATGGCAACAGCTGTGTAAGGACCAAGGACAAGACAGTGCTCCAGGTCAGGATGCCAGAGAAAGCTTGACCAAGTCTTGCTTTTCATTGTCATGTTTCCTGTGGTACACACTAATACTCATTGATTTGAAAACCAAAATTAAAACTTGCTTTGGTCAAGATAGCTGCCAGCTGCATTCCCGTACCTCGGTAAGTCTACTAGGACTAAGTGCTGCCCCTGCTCTGCTTTAAGTAGGCAGACCTGTCCAGGGGATTATAGCGCTTTTACACTCAACTACAACTGCTGTTTGCTTTTTAAATGTAACCCTCTTGGGAATGCTAGGAAAAGCCTTTGAATGTTACTTAGAAAGGAACAAATCGTATTATGAAATGGCACAAGCCTGAAGACTTAAACCGAAGACAGGTTAAACAGAATCCATGGAAACCACCATCCTCTGAAAAAGTAAATGTTAAGGCCACACCTCGGAAAATGTGTTAAGGTAGAAAGAACCAAGACCTGTGGAAACTAGGCACTGGGGCATATTACGTGCCCTGCACAGCCCTGTGCACTATGTCTCCATGTGAAGTAAATATCAGAGCAGGTGGAATAATGGGGGAAGAGTGGAGGCAAGTTCTCAAAAATATCTTCAATCTAACTACATATGCTTGATCTGCTGCTATTCACCCAGTCAGGGTGCATCTCCCCCCCCCTCCGACAAACTATTGAACTAATCATGGGCAAAACACGCACATTTTCTCACCCACCTGCAATTTTAAAATTGCACCCAAACCAATTAAATATGCAACTAAATATTCTGCAGCACCTGGAGACGATTCATGTTAGAGTCACAAGCCCAAAAAAAACACTTAAGACTTCTCAGTGTTTGCCCTGACAAGTACTATTTGCCAGCGATGCCCAAAACACCAGTGCGGGGGGTTAGACTGGGGACGGCTCCCACCGAGAGGCTTCTGGAAAGAGAAATGGCAAAGGAGTCCTTCCAACGCCCAAACCAAATCCAGGCTCCTCCAAACAAAACCCTGTGAACAGGAAGA